TAATATTTTTTTATGTAAGAATCTTCCTTTATATTTTAATAAAAATTATTTTCAGTACATATTTGAATTTTAAAATCATATAAAAGAAGGAAAAATAAGTTTTTGTATTAATATTTAATAAAGAAAGTCTTCGCAAAAACGAAAAAGTAAACTATAATAGTCTTAAATGCTTAATCCTTATTTACAAGACGTTCTACTATCTTGACAAAAACTTGTCAACAACTGTCTTTCTTGTCTTTTAATTTACATTTGTAGTTTCAATAGAAAATAAAAACATTTTTTTCTCATAAAAATCACAACTTCTTTAATTTTAATTTATGAGAAAAACTGTTTAAAGCAAATGAGAATAATAAGATTTTAATGAAACAAACTTTTTTTGAATGACGTATTTACGTTTTGAACAGCTCATGCATAATGACTTCTATGAAGTCAGTAACATGAAGGATTAAATACTACTTTTGCAACATGAAATTAAAGTTTTAATATATAAGAATATATAAAAATATAATATAATATATAAAAAGTATAAGAAAAAAAAGAAGTGAAAAAGGTTTTTATTTTAAATATTATAAACAGAAGATTAAAGTGAGAAAAAATTTAATATTTTTAATTTACAATAAATTTATAATAAGTTACACGTACATCTTCATAAACATTTTATCCGAAATTCCTATTGTGGCCTGCAATAGGAAGCTTGAAGTACTTTAGCATACATTCTACACTCACAAAAATATACTCTAACCACATTGACCTGATCATTTTGTTAAAAAAAATTTTAAATAAGATTTAGTAAAGAAGACCTGAGATTTAGTTAAAATCTGGTTAAATCAACGAAATTGTTTTTAGTGTACTAGTAAAGCTTCGATGAACACTTAATCCATAATTATAGTAAGTGATGGAAGTAGTTTAATAATGATCCAATTTTTTATTTGAATAACTAGATCTTTGTGCTAATAGTAATTACTTAGCACTGCATTGCTGTGTCGTATACAAAGGCTAAACGCAGAAGTCGTTCCAAGCCGTCCGACTATTTTAAGCATATCAAAACTCTATGTGCGCTTAGATACAAGTTACGAAAAAGAACCTGTGTTGTAGCAATCGGGTCATCGTGATGCAAAGTTACTTCCAGAATTGTTCATTCTGGTGCCTCCACTATACACTAAATAATGATGAATTGCTTTCATGATTCTCTTCATTTAGTTATTTTGTAAATTATTAAGTGCGATTTTTTAAACTAATGTGTGCCTTCCTTAAACGCGTAGTAAACAAAAACTCAGCATTGAAATTTTCTGATAGTTATATGATATATGGTTTACTTACAGCATAACCTATACACAAAAAGATACTCGAATATGTAAAAAAGATGTAACACGCGCTTGTTCAAAATTGTCGTTAGTTTCTGATCGCCACGCTTAGAACTCGTGCCTGGCTTCTTGTGGAAAAACACGATTAGTCATTGTTTCTAATGTGTTAGGCACTAGTTCTAAGCCTGACTCTCGCAGTCCAACAAATTATATACAGACCATAAACTAAATAAAAAATTCGAAAATTTCCTAAGATTACTGCTGATCTTAACAATACTCGAAACATGTTTAGTCATATTTTTATAAATACACTAAATTTTTGTTGTTGTCTTTTCAGTACTATTCGAACCCTTCAAAGAATTTAAGTTTTATTTTATGTGGAGACATTACGTTACTTATAAAGGCATAAAGGCCGCAAATAAAATCTTTTTGTAAAAGTAGGAGTTACCAAAGACTATTTGATTTACCTAACTATAAGTTATTTATCTAACACCTGATTTTTCGAACGCTTAAATGTATGTAGTGATAATGAAAATTTTTTCTCGTATAAGTCTTTATATAAGTTCGCATACATACAGTAGTGTATTACCGACATCAGACTACCAGTTTCTATATTTAATTTATAAAATTAAAATGTTTATATGAATAATATTTGATAACACCACACCAAAGGTGATAATACCTATTATGTGACTAAATAAATTGCAGCACAAGTTTTAACACCTTTAATAATGTAATCCGATTCCAATCTTTTGAGTGATTTGAGTTTATGTATGGAATAACGAATTTTATATTAAGAATCTGCAAATGAAATGCGAACTCACATACGTGCATGACCTTCTGATAAATCAGTATGCATTTCAACAGAGCATCAGGACATTCGTATATACATACCATACTTCACGCAATCCTTGCAATTTATGCAAAATGTAATCGCATAACAAAATTTCAGAGAGAAAAATTGTTATAACATTTTCACAATTTCCATGAAACTATAATTCATATTTGTAAATGACTAGTACTTGTATTCTTTATTCCATTTTCTGAGTGCTCCTGCAGTTTATAAATTACAGTCAGTTTTGGTCACGTTTCTGTATTTGCAGTGCAATTGTTCCGATTTGTAATAGAAGAAATACGAGAAAAAATTATTTAATGGTTCGAGTTTGGAAAATTTTTTCATTATTGCAGTTTTAATACTTTTTTATTATGTCAACAATAGAAAATAAATAATTGGGTTTTTTTCTAAATAAACGTTAAATAAAAATTTAATTTATTGTTACTCGAAGGAATGCTCCATCCACACTGTGCCGCAACAGAAATTTGCCGAGCAAAATTCTATATTTTGTGAACCAGTAAAATATTGATAATTTCTAAGATATTGAAATGAAATTTTTCTAAAACTTTGTTTTTGAGATGGCCTTCCTTTTGAATCTTATTTGAGATTCGATTGGGCTTAAAATAGATTCAATAGAAAGGTCAAGTCAAAAACAAAGTTTTAGGAATCAAATGGTCATTTGTTTTCCGGAAAACCGATCATGTGGCAAATATACGAGGAACATAAAATGGTCAATTCCAAATGGTGTATAACAATTCCACAACGTTTACCGGAAGTCTTCAATGACATACAAACAAGCGTCGTCGGATCATTCTCCATCTTCATCAAAACAATTTTTGTCGGCGGAAGCAACAACAAAGTCGTTGTTGTATTTAAAAACCATGTTTTGGAGGTGTCTAAAGAAGATTGGAAGAAATGTTTTGACAAATAGTTCCAACGCAGACAAAGATGTTTAATTCATAAAGGAGAATACTTCGAGATACAATAAACCAATTTTCAACGACAAGTTAATATATTTTTATTATTGAGCTCAAAATATAAATAGTTACCCTCGAATTGAGACTTGCAGTATTATTAAAAAAAGATTATACAAATTACAGTCTCAATACTATACTTTATGCGTCGATGTTGTCAATAGTGTGGCTGCCTATCAATTCGTCGACCGGCGATTGTGATATCTTGGTATAAATGGAGACCTGAGGAAAAACTATGTTAAGGACAGTGTAGGTTCCTGATTTTAACTACTTTATATATATTTTGTTAAAAAATTATTTTTGCTGAGGTTAATTTGATATTTTAATTTCAGTGATTTAGATTTCGGTTTGAAACAATAAAAAGACAAAATATATTTATTTTTAAAAGTCTTAAAATAGAAATAAAATTTAAAAATTATTTTTGTTTGTTTTTTTTGGCCTTCTTTTTAGGTTTCTTCTGTTTACCTTTTTTAACTTCAGTTTTATCCGGTTCAATTTGCTCAAGTACTGAAATCTTCGAAGAGTGTTCTTCACTGATAGCAATATTACTTGTCAATGAAGACGATTCTAAAGATTCGCGTTTGCGATTTATGTCATCAAGAACGATGTGCTCATCTTCTGTCTGAGTTGAGTGAGTTGTTGTTTTTATATTACACTTCTTTGGTTGGTCTAAATAATTTTCACTTGCTCTCGTCTCTGCTTCTAAAATTTCATGAAACTTCTTTTCAATTTCATAATGCTTCTTCTGATGTATATCCTCTTTAGTGAATGTAAGTTCTGTGGCTGCTAGTGAATGTAGAAAAGAACAGTCCTTTTTAACACATTGTTCATTCCTAACAAAATGGTGGCAATATTTAGTCAAACCTAAATTACTTCGTATGAGCCAACCGTCAATATCAAGATTATTGGTGCACTGTATAGCCTTAAGAGCATCATCGGCATGTGTATATGTGACATAGACGGCAGCAGTTTGTGATTGCGTTCCCATATATCTAGTATTCGGATTTATGACAATTCTTTCGACTTGACCATATTTTCCAAAGAATTCGGGTTTTTTAAGTATTTCAGGATTTGTCAGCCGTGGTGGTAAACCGACAACAAAAACTAAATTCTTTTGAAGTATACGTAATTCAGCTAAATTTGTTTGACGTTCTATTACTTTTGTAGCTTTCTTTTTCTCACCACGTTTCCGTTTTTTTGCTTGATATTGAACAAGTTCTTTCTGACTAATTGGTGTAAAATTCGCAGGATTCTCTGGATAGACATTTCGGCATGCAGGACATAATGCATTCTCTTCTGTTCTAATTCTATGCCAACAGAATCTACATATTTGATATCCACATTCGCATGGGAAAAATTGTAGATCATCAATTTCAAGTTTTTCCAAACATAAAGGACATTCCACTTCACGGTTTGGATCAATACGAATACCTCCAGTTTTTTTGGCATTTCGTTTTAATTTTCCTTTTTTAGACTTCAGCATTTGTATTTTTTAAGCAAAATTTTCTTAAGAAAATAAATTTGAAATTCTCAGCATATTAAAAATATATTCTATACACAGTTTTTTTAATAAATGTCAAAATCATATATGTATGGAAATTAATCTGATGTCCAAAAAATAGAAAAAAAATTTATAATATATTCTTTTGTAAAGTTTTTAATGCTATAGCTTTTTTTAAAAAATTCTGATCAAACGTTTTAAAGTGCTATTAATTTCTTTAATAGTAATAAGTTTAAGGAAAAGTTAAAAATTTTAATAGAATTGATTGAATTGAATAAAGTAGAATAGAAACGAAACTTAGTGAAGCATAAGAAAGCAATAAAGTAAACCTTTTAAGCTAGTAACTGACCGTAATGAAGGAGACTCTATCTGTATGAAGGTCTGGCTATTTCTCGTTAAAAAATTAGTAATATCAAGGCTCTAAGCCATGTGACACCTATGTGATACCTATGCTTCCATGAAAAGTTGATATTCTCATACTGACCCATCTTGTTAAGACGGTAATAGGTCATGTTGCTTAGATGGATCTGCTTTACTCAAAGACATCGCGCTGCGAAAGCATTCCGAGGTATTAAGAAAAAAACAATTTTTTAGACTGGTGGTTACGTAAAGCGTCGTACCAGTAGCAACTACTTGCATTTATCTGCTATTCTTTCAAAGACTTAGTTGCAAATCAACGGATTCCGAATAAAGAATTGCACCATTGATCCAGTGCTTGTGAGAATTGTTCGTGTACTGGTTCTTGTTTTTTAATGACCTGCAAGACACTTCACCATTTCTTATCTGTCACAGTAGTATGTTATAATAGTCCACCAATGGTCTCAAAGATAGTTCTCAAAAGGACAATGCTTTGATTCCTGCTTGACTTGTCTTGTATCCCTTGGTATTAAATACAGTCCTTTGATTATTTACTAACACCATATGAGTGCAGAGTATTGTGTCTACATTAAAGACAAATCTGATTAATTTTTGTTTT